ACAATCCAAAGTGGGGAAAGTTCCTCTTATAAATGGAAGCAGCAGAGTACAGTTATCCAAGGCTGCTGGTCTCTTTGGGATAGTTCTCCATCCCTAACATCTTTTACCTATTTTGTGGTACTTTATGCAAAAATATGCTCTAAGCTTCTATTGGTTCTATCCTCTAATATTTCCCAAATCTGCCCCTCTTGTGTCCACTGCCTCTACTGTAGCCTGGCTTCATGCCTTCTAGAAGGTTGCTCACAATTAGGTTTCTAGCACCTGCCTTCTGATTTTCTTTCTTTCCTGCAAGTTCATTCTACATATTGTCCTCATCCTCCTTGTCTTCCATTTGGCTTTATTTCAATCTACTGTTTAAACAACTGTTGAGTCTTTAATAAATCTACAGCTTCTGGTTACAGAGAGTTGAATGAATACCTGCTATTCCACTAAAATGATTATTTCCATGTTCCTTTATCAAGAGCATGTGAAGGAAACCATCAGCGAACAAGAGATTTCAACAAATATTTAGAAGACAGGAAGCACATGAGAGCACATCAAAGGAAACCAGAAGGCCAGAGAAATTGGAGGCGGCAGCTGTAGTGGACGAAGGAGCTGATTCATCAGGCAGAAACTCTGAGAGGCTCTGGGCTCAGAGTTGGCAGGCATTGGGGGCAGAGCAAGAAAGGCTTTACACACCACTGGTCCACATGTCCTCTGCCCAAATCTAGTGCTCAGGCAACCCAACTTTAGCCCCTGGGGTAGAATAACCTTCTCTAAAAAATTAAATGAAATTCCCGATAGTGCTGAAGTTGGGTTTTGTTTTTGTTTTTTTTTAAGATAGCGTCTCACTCTATCACCCAGGCTGGAGTGCAGTGGTGCCATCTTGGCTCATTGCAACCCCAACCTCCCGGATTCAAGAAGTCCTCCTGCCTCAGCCCCTCAAGCAGCTGGGACTACAGGTGCATGGCACCACCACGCCCAGCTAATTGGACAGTGCTGAAATTTGACATATGGTTGTTAGCATCCCAGAGAGAACCATCCCTATTCTGCCACGCAAAGGCTCCATACCCCAATATAGCTCCTGCTAACTTGGTCTCGAGAGACTAAATATACAGATGGACAATGACCCGACCACATATAACAATAGAACTCTAACCCATTATCTATAGTAACCAGCCCAGAAGCCATCCTACTATCTTGCAAGTCAGACTTGTAGGACATCAGAACTCTCTCTCTCTAGCAATTAGCCCAGAAAGCCGAACAATCAGCCCTGCAGTAGCCCCAAACAGCCAGCAGTTGATTAATAACTGTTCCCTAATTTTTGTCCCTGGGATTGAAAGACTGAATCTACAAATGAACAATGGTTAGCTATATATAAAACAGGATTCTGATCCACTAGTAGCCCAAGAAGCCAACCTCCTAACTGCACTTGGTAAGGGATCTTACCTTCAGGAAGATGCAGTGCAGGGAGCCAAAGAATAATCCCTGTCACAATTGACCCAACATGGTCAAGAATTTTTTATTAATAGCCAGCTTTCTTATTTTTGGCTCCATTTACAACTTAGGACCAATCAGAAAAAGCTAAGTATGTTCCCTGAACCAAACACATAGGATGCCCATTTCCAGTTAGCCTGCCTACAGCTGCCCCTGCCCACAGCCTCTGAGCCTAGCAGACTTAAAGCCTTCCCTTTTTTTTTTTTTTTTTTTGAAAGGAGCTCGCACTGGTTCACCCAAGCTGGAGTGCAAGGTGCGATCCTCAGCTCACGGCAACCTCTGCCTCCCGGGTTCAAGCGATTTCTCTCCTGCCTCAGCCCTCCCCAAGTAGCTGGATAACAGGTACCTGCCCACAACGACATAAGCCTAATTTTTTGTATTTTAGTAAGAGACAACGGGTTTCACCATGTTGCCAGGGAATGGTCCCTGATCCTCCTGAACCTTTGTGACTGCCACCTCAGCCTCTCAAGTCTGGGATTACAGGTGGCGCCACCCATCCCCAGCCCAAACTTCCCTTTTATCCACACAACTTCGGCTACTCCCCTCCTTCGCCTTGGAGTCCTCTCTCTGGCAAATGCAGTGGATATTTAAGCGACCTTCCCTGAGCAAGCCTCTGAACGAATAGCCCTTGCTTGTTCTATTTGGTATCTTCAATTAAAGTTTCACTCTGAAAGCAAGGTCTTCTCTCAACAAGCCTTCCACATCCAAATAAACCTTTACAAATTGTTACAAATACGCAGTCAGGCTGCATTTAGGGGAAATGAAGATCCTTATATACCAAACCAATGAGGAAACCTAAAATAGCTTCATAATATAAATCAACTCAGCCTCCTCATGTCTTAAATATGACAAGCCAAAGATAGAACAGTCAAGCCCACTGGACCTCAGAGGAGAACCAGCAAACGTAGAAGAAAAATCAAGGAAACAGAACAGATTGACCTGGAGGAAACAGGTCCATTCAGAAGACTCAAAACAAGCGTTAAAACATTCTATTGAGATCTTCGTGACCATTTGAGAAGATATATTCACATCCATGAAACCAAAAACAGCAGGCTGTGGAAAAAAAAAACGAAATAAAAATAGTCCTGGGAAAATTAAAAAGTGATTGCCCTGGAATTAAAAACATTGGAGGATTAAGTTTGAGAAACTCAACAGCAACAGAGAGCAAAACCATAATCTGACACTCTGGCAGAAAGGTCAAGTCAACATTTTGTAAGTTTTTCATAGCCTAAACCCAGAAATGTTAGAAAGGGGTTGCTCCTAGGTAGGACCTGGTGGATGTGAACCTGACAGCCGCTCTCTCGCTTTGCATTAGAAATCCGTTTGCCCGATGTGTGTGGAGCCATGTGCATGGACACT